GATATTCTATAAATGGCTGTATTGTATTGTAAAATTAAAGGCACAGTATACAATAAACTTTATTGTCGTAGGACGTTTGAATCTTTTCTATTTTTTTGTTGTTCTTTCTATTAATTTTTATGAAACACAGCGTTAGATGTGCGAAATATTACATGCGTTTCTGAGATTTGTTATTTCGCATACTCTTAGCTACGTTTTTCCATTTTATCGATCTATTTTCTTTTATCTACTAAGTTTTTTATTTATAAAAAAATAACTACATTAGATATTTTTATTAATTGCATCGTCTGAGGTATATGGTTTCTGTAAATACGTCACTAAAATATGATATCTGTCTAACACACTATACTCTTGTTGACATTTGTCAGCTTTATTCGTAAATAGAATTTTTTTGCTTGTTATTTCGCGTATCAGAATGTCTTCGAATTCTTCTTTGTAATTATCTGGTATTCTCGAAATGAATGGATTAACAGCGAGCGCGTGTCCTGTAATTACAAACAACGTCATCATTAAATACAAATTCATTTTATCATATTTCATATTTCACTTTTCGGGGAATGTTGAAAAATTGATTGCTTTTATTATTTACTTTTCAAACTTTGAATATTTTGATAGATGAAGCTCTTTTCACGTTTACTGCAATGGAGAACATTGAATCCGGTCTCCTCTAGCATGGATCTCAATGCACCTCTCGAATCGTTGCAATAATGAAAGTACGGGATGTATTTATGTGCATCCTGAAATGTAGAGTTTGTTTTCACGAGTTTAAGTGTTTAAAGATTACAATGATTATTGTATTAGAAAAATTAAAATATCACTTACGTGTTATTGTTAAATTTGTTCGTCAAGTTGAACTTAATATGATCGATGTTAGATTATTGGTTCTTTTATACTCTTTAATAATTTATTAATTAAATGTGCAATTGTGTATTAAGATTACGTATAGAATTATACGCGGAAATATTATTTTCATTTTGCATTTGTTTGAATTCGAATTTTTTAACACGTACAAGATAAATTATAATTATTAAGAATAATTTCGTATTAAAATTTAATTAATTTGATAAAGAATAATATTTTCGACATATATTTTTATTCGTTCTGAAAGTTTTTCTTCGAATTCTTGGAAAAGATATTAAGTTAGCGATAGTAGGACAGCGGATGCAATAATGATAAATTTATAGAAAAAAAAAATTCAGATATAGACACATACACATGCATAAAAATATTAATACGATACCTGCATATACGGTTGATACCGTGGATTTTCGTGTATTCTGACGTAAGCATCGAAGCCATCGTTGTATGCGAGGAACATAATCAATGCCTTGCCACCAGGTCGAAGTAATTTGAAGATATTCTCGAAGGCAAGCCTAAGTACGTAAGCGAAAGATCTATCTCGATAATAATCTCGGGAAATTTGTTTTTTTGTTCATCTTTGAAAGTTTTTAGAGTATATAGAGTACCGCGTATTTTGACACCAATGAAGACAATAAAATGAAACAACATTTTCGTAACGTTCTATTTGCTCCTCTGGCAAATTCAAAGTTTCGATGTCCAGATGAAGAAAGGATAAGCGTAAATTGTTGCAATAATTTGTTTTTGCGTGTTCCAACATGGCATTAGATATATCTGCACCTGTAAAAGATATTAAGAAAATCTATTTTTTCCTTTATTGACAATGTTCATGAACAATAAATCATCGGAACATGATGAAGAAATCGATAAATGGAATCAGTTAATGGTCTTACCGATTATCACGGATTCTTGTGGCAATCTTGGTAAGATCAATTCGGTGGTAACAAGTCCAGGGCCGCAACCAATATCGATGCATTGTCCATACATTTCTCCTAATTCCTTGTTGAATTCCTCTACGATCTCTAAAGTATCGCGGTATTGAAATTTGCTTGCATTCAAGTATTCATTGACTTTCTCCATCTTAAGATCATATACACCTAAGAGGTACACTTTGATTAAATGATAATTGATCTTTTTCTTTTTTTATCAATGCACATAAATATCAACTCTTAATATACAGTCGTGTATATGACTTCAATATGATGCCCGCGAACTTTCTCACTACTGACTTTTCGAGCAGAGTTTCGTTTTTATATTCGGCGACTCCCCTACACAAGAGAACAACTTTCTTGTTCTCCTTCTTCTTCTTCCTTACCTCTCCCCGTTTTACCCGTTTCATTTGATTTCATTTTTTTCCCACTCTATTACTTCTTTTTCCCTAAAACCACACTCTTCCCCTACTTCTATCGTGCCTACCTCAACATCCAAATTCTTTCCTCTGACTTTAGCCATGTCTCGAGGAGAGAGTAGAAGCAGAAGACGAAGAAGAAGAAGTAGAAGGAAAAAAAGTAAGAGGAGAAAAAGTATAAGACCTACAGGACCATGCGGACCTTGTTGAGTCAATGACCGAGCCCCGAAACTCGACTCTTCTTTCGATGGAAATATTTACCAGAATTAACCCGAAATATTTCTCAACCCGTATAATGTTTCATGTCAACAAAATATTGTCTCGCATTTGTTTTTTATCTATGATCGTTGGACTTCTGATTATCATCCTAGACCCGTCATAATCAATTTTGACCTTTTTTTGGATAAGCGATAACACTGGCGCCTTTCTATGATACCAGCAATTTTCTCTGTCGATTTCATGATACTTGTAATTGACCCTTTCCATTTCGTCAGCCTAATTTTCCATATTCGAATGGGGTGAAGGGTTATCTTATAAGAACTTCTTAAGAAAAATTAAAGTTTGACCTTCAAGTATATTAGATCACTAAGTGTTCTATTACTCCGATTATATATTTTCAATTCGAAAAATTGTGGATTAGATACTTATTAATGACCTTATATATAATCACTAAAATTTGTCTCGTCGAATTTTTTTTCAAGTTATCTTAACGATCGCGAAAGAAATGTCACGATTCGTTGTTGCTAGATTGGATTGTCTTAGATTGGAGGGTGTCCTGTGGCGAACGTGGAACACCTTGAACATTTCGATCAAGTGGATCTCTGGTGTATAGTTAGGAGCTCTAAATAATATGAGATCCAAAGACGAAAGGGGGAAACTGGTTGTGACCAAGCGGTCTAAAGTAGAGTGGGCCAACTTGGTTTGATCCGATTTTTACCATACCTTCGCGAATTCCTTTACTACGACCTTAAGGAATATTATTCAAAATAAACCATTTGATTATTTATTATGAACAATTTAAAAAACAACAATTTCATCAGGTGTATACATTTTTTAATCTTCATATTCTTCTTCGTATCGATTAGATCGATCTATTCGTTAGATTTATCGATATATGCGAAAGCGTGTAGAGGAACGCGTTCACCTAAAGCACGTTCCATTATATCGATGATAATAGAGGTGAAATCCTATCAAGCAATTCGAACCCTTGAAGCGTTCTTATCTTTCGTTCGCATGTATTTGCCTTTCGGACAGCAGCGTATTTGAATATGCGTCGGCACACTCCATACACTTTCCTGTATTATATAGAGGATGCTTTCCTAATCAAACATTCGTATCTCACATATACATACGTATATACATAAATACCATGGGGATGAATTGTTATGTCAACCCTCTTCCTTTTTTTTTCTTTTTTTCTTTTTTCTTTTTTCTTTTTTCTTTTTTCTTTTTTTTTTTTACCGAGTATGAAATTGTTATTTTAAAATAGAAAATAATTTGTCTAATTTTGAATTTAATTATAATCCAGGTATCCCTTTCTACCAGAATTTATAGAAAGAGAGAGTAGGAGGAAGAGAGGAAAATAAACGCATGGAAAGTGTTGACCATGAGAGAAGGATTATATATAGGATGAGGGGTGAAAGTGAAGAGAAATCGATTTGCGAGAGAAAGATAGATTAGATGGAACAAAAAATTCATATAATATAATGATCGATTAAAGATAGTAATGCGTTGGAATAGTTAGAGATAAAAGATACGGAGTGAATGTTTAATACACATTTTTTTTTCTCCCTTTTTCTTTTTTTCTTTTTTTCTTTCATTTACTTTCGTCTAGCCTTGTTACTTAAAATCCGTGGCCAGAGCTTTCGAATGTATTGAGTGCTGGTGAGGTGCCGTAATACGAAAGACTTTGATAAATGACTGATGTGGACAAAATCTGCGTCGATACGTCTTGCTCAAGGAGATGTGTCGTTGGGGGTTAGAAAGAAAAAGAGAGGGAGAGAGAGAGAGAGAGAGAGAGAGAGAGAGAGAGAGAGAGAGAGAGAGACAAAGAAATAAAAGTGGAATGAGAATGAGAAAAAAATGTTTATTGAACTCTTGGACAAACATTTTTTTTCTTTTTAACGATCGAAAAAAAAATATTAATATTAAATAAATTCTTTCCTAAAAATTTCAACAATTTGTAGCACATTCTTCTTGATAGGTCATTTTAGTCAAAATTATACAATTTTGTAAATTTTTGTACAGGTCGTTTAATTAATGTTAAATGTTCCTGGAACACAATTATTTGAATTAAAAAAAAAATGATAATCGACGAAGAATGTGTTAAGTAATATGAACGTCTATGACAAATATTAAAGAAATTTGTGTATGGTCCAGACATAGGAATCAGGATCGGTCGATCGTTCTTTCGCGGATGCGTGCTTTATCGGAAAACACTGAGTGAGATATATGGTGAGATTATGCGAGATGGCGTTTCGGAGTCGAACAGGGTGCTATTCTCCGCTCCGTCAATTATGCTAATTTCGATTGCTACGAGATTAATGAAAGAAGGCACCGTTCTCCGTTGAATCCTGACGGTGGAAACGTGACGTTCTTATCCTTACTCGTTCGACCATGTATAATGCCTTAGACTTGTAATTATTACACCTTACTCGACCTTTATTATCTCTTTTTTCTAATCATTTCGAATTGTTTAATTAGATGGAAACAACATTCTTTACTTATCATTTTTCGAAAAAAGTAAGAGATACGACAATATCTCTATTCAATTATTTAAAGTCTAGTCGGGTTATTTTATATTATTTTTCCTTTGAAAAGAAACAAGAAGAAAAAGAGTTCGATAACTAAATAGAAACAAATTTTTATTTCAATGTCCATAGAAAAAAGAATAATAAAAAAGAATATGCACATAAATCCAAATACCTATAAACATATTGAAAAGATATTGTGTCTGTTATTTATAATATATATGTTTCTTTTGAGTATATGTAAAATATTGAAGTTTCTTTCACAAAAGAATAAAATAATCTGTCTGTGAAGTAACTGTTGTGACCTTAGAAGGAATGCATCGTAAGTTTGATTGTGTATGTAGTTTTCTGTGGTAAATAGGAAGAAAGAAAATGAGAACGAGATAGAAAGAGAGAATGAGATAGTGAGGGGGTGTTGGGGTGGAGAGGGAGGTGGGAAGAGGAAAGCGAGGGTTGGAGATACTCGGAAGAAGAGTAGGTACAGTGGGAAGGAAGAGAGGGGAAGGAGAGGGGGAGGAGGAGGTCGACTGGCGACAGAGGCGCATCAATAATACATATCGTCTGCCGCCCACACCACACCACACCACCTACACTTTTGCCCTCTTTCCTTGTCTTCCGTATCTTCGCGGGTTATAACTGGCTCTCTGACGCAAGTGACCTCTCTCTCTCTCTCTCTCTCTCTCTCTCTCTCTCTCTCTCTCTCTCTTTTTCTCTCT